GGGGGGAGTCATGCTGGGCCTGCCCCAGGATGGCCTTGTTCTTGTACTGGTCCATACTGGCTGGAAGTGGAGGGAAAGTGGGTCCAGCACTAATGTTGCATACACCCCTTCTCCTTGGAGAGACAACCCACCTCATGTTTTGCCACCACTGGCTGCAGCCTTTGGAAGAGACCGTGTCTGTTAATCCTCTTTTTTTAAAAAAGAAGAAGGACCTAAATCACCAGAATAACTCAGAAAAATTGGTGGCTGAAGGAACCAGGTTTCATGGTTCCAGCCACTCTGTGAGAATGTCAGGGATGTTCCTCTGGGACATCTGGAAATGCATAATTGCCTGGGCAGCTTAGGGCCACTGTGTTGCAAACTTTTTCTTAACTCTGCTTCCTGAGTCAACTAGGTCATTGCATCAGCCACGAAATGAGCTGAGGACAGACATGAGTGATTCCTGTGTCAGGGACTATAACCACAACTACAGGCATAATTGAGATTTTCCTTCATTTCTCTTATGTGCTAAAATGGAAATATTAGATTAACTCAGCTGTGCTGTAAGACTAACTGCAGAGAGTCTCTGGAAGACGTGTTCACATGGAAAGGTCACTACGTTGCCACTGGATGGTTATTTCACTTATTTTACTCAGTAGTTAAGATGTATGTTTTCTGTCTTTCCCAGGCCGTTCATCTTCAATTGTCCAGGCAGCCAATAAGGCAGAATAAATGAGGAGCATCCAGAAGTTGTACAGTTTAAAGCTTTCTATCATTATGCAAAATCTATATCATCATTAATCACCTTTTTTCTTAATGAATTTGGGGACTGGTGTTTCTGCTGCTAAGTACTCAAAGGAGTTATTAAATTTATGGCTGTCTGGTTCCCCCATCTGTTTCCATAAAAATTTACTGCAATTAGTATTTCAGCAAAATTTCTAAACCCTGCCAGACTTCTTAAGAACATGGAACTCTGCTGTAAGCGTGAGGGGGAGCTAATGGTGTATAAGTGACAAAAAATAATCTGAAATCCACATTAAACCAGATTTGCCTATAGTTTGCAGGAGGGTTAAGGCAGCAAAATGGGGGAGAGGCTGGAAAAATTCCTGCCCATCCAAGTCCAGCTGTCCCCTGCTGGCTAGATATTGGGAAAATGTTTAATTCATTTTCATTTTTCTGAAGGAGGCAGCTCCAGAAGAACGTGGACAGAGGTTTGCAGCACAACTGCTGAGCACACAGAGGGGAACCAGGCAGTGGGGTGGCAGCTGGAGGCAAGTATCAGTCCTGGGGGTAAGCCCTGGGAACAGGGCTCTGCAAAACCACGACACCTGTGAAAAAGCCCTGGAGTCAGGGGTCTCTCAGATTTTACTGCACTGAAGCTGGGGCCAGGAGCATTGCTGCCCTATCCCTGGCAGAAATAAGCTGCAGAATATAAACCTGTGCTATCACAAGAATCTGGCAGGAGCCCTCACCTTAGTGTGGGCATGCCAGATGTTTAAGGAGGCTGGTGACAATGCTGCCTCCTGGAGAAGGACCAGTGTCACACCCTTCTGCTGTGTGCAGCCACACTGCACTCCTACAGAGGAAAAGCCCTTTGCTCTGCACTAATTTCACAGTTCTGTGTTTGTTTGTAATAAAAGGGGACAAACAACATTTTGATGGTCAAAGGATTGTGTTTTGTTCTTAGTGGGCCACGATGTGCTCCTGTGGTGCATTGCAGCCTCTTGGGTGCCGTATATGGTCATACTATTGAAGTTCCCCTTTCAGCTGGCTTCCCTGGCCCCATCGTGCACCTGCTTATTATCAAATCAAAGGGACCCTCGAGTCTTTATTTTCACTGTATTTATGCCAGGATAAATTTTTTGCGGCTGACAAATTTCCAGCTGCTTTTACGAACAGCGGGACGGGCCCAGTTTCTCGGGAAGGAAAAGTTGCTGGGCGTTGTCTGAGCTACAGCAAAAATGACAACACAAGAAGGGCTGACTGACTGGAAGGGGTTGGCTCCGATGTGCCTGGATTGCCCAGGAGGACGATAATGAACAGAACGAGGAGAGCAGTTGCTTCAATAAGTAAACTGGAACATGTGTGCGACCGATGCCGCCGGGGGCCCATATATGCCAAGAAGTCTGTTTCTAACATCTGCTCTTCAGCAGCCTTAATATGTTATGACCAGATCAATATATCTTCTGCTGCTGGTGTCAGACATCCCACAGCAGCTAGAAACTAGGGGAGGAAATGCAGGCAAACAAGCACATAGACATGACTACATACACACAGGTACACACATACAGGCATTTTTGTGCAGCGTTGTATCATTAGAAGGATTTATAATGTGAAATCAATCAAAAAAGCTGCTTAAGTAGACCTGACAAAGAAGAGCCATCAGTGGCTGACATTCACTCCCTACAATGTCTCTTTTTCTTTTGCAGAGTATAAGCTAGAGGATTGCTATGTTGTTGGAAGCTCAGTGCATCCACAGACGCAATATGTTCTTTATGCCACTGCAATTAAAAGGCTTTTCATTAGCCTTGTGTGCATTTCCATGCAGCCACAGGCAGGGGAGGGCAGAGAAAGAGGAGCAGGGAACAAAACAGAAGATGAAAGGAGGGGCTGAGCAAAAACATGTTGGCCAGCAAGCTGCTCTGGTGCTGGCATCAGAATGAGCACAAGTGTTTATTCTCTTCTCTGCTTCAGGGTATTGCACTCACAGTGCCTGTGAAAAGCACCACATGGCTGTTCCTCAGCCGCCTCAGCTCATCCTCCAGCCCCTGAGCTTCAGCCACAGCTGGAAGCAGGCTTGGGAGAAGGCACAGGACCATGGACGAGAGGAAAACAGCATCAAGCAAAGATATGGGATGACAAACATCTGTCATTCAGGTGAAGTGAGACACTACCTGCACTTGTGCCTAGTACTTCTGCTCAGCCCATCTTCTTTCTCAGAGGGCAGAAAGAGTGCAAGAAACAGGATCTCTTTCTTCACTCAACTTACTCTGCAAGCCTGGGGAGAGTCCATTCAAGGACCTGGCATAAAGATTAATGTTTGGCCTGTGGCATTAAGCAGAACTTGTTCATTTAAGACAGGACAGTGGCTTGGAAGAATAGGGGGTTGTGACCTCCCTGATGCAGCAGCAGTTCTCCTGACAGAAGGCGATAAATAAAAGTCAGTGCCACAGAGTGTATCTGAAAGCTTTGCACTGTACAACGTGAAAAATGCTTGTTGTGACCCCAAGAACCTTTACATCAGGAGATCTCCTGTGCACATATGGGTAATAAGGTCTGATTGTAAGTGATGCCATCAGTGAGTTGTATGGGAATAGCAGTAACTCTAAAACCACGCTTCATTTAGTGCAGATGTCTGATTTCCCCCCTCAATATCGCTCCAAAGCACCTAATTTAGTGACAGACATCAACCTGGAAACTGAGGAACTTTCAGCTTTTGTGTTTATTTAGCCCCTTACCAGAGCACCGGCTGCAAATGGTAGATTTCAGATCCTTTTTATTTCTGTGTAAATAGCAGGGTTCTTTCAGCCAGCCAGGTGCTCTGCTGGATGTTACTGCTCACAGTCCAGTTGTATATATTACAGCTGGAATATATAACTGTGCCTCCTGCCTCTTCCAGGAACCAAAAGCAAAGTTTTCATAATATCGTTGAATGGTTTGGGTTGGAAGGGACCTTAAAGATCATCCAGTCCAACCCCCCCCCCCCCTCCCCCATGGGACTTTTTACAAACTAATTCCTAGGACAGCAAACTTGCCTGTCTTAGGCTTCACACACTAATCAGGCTTTGGAGGAAAGGTGGTCATACAGTCACACTGGGGACAGGTGTGGCAGTACCTCAAAGGAGACCATTTGTTGCATCATTCCTGGTACGAAACCAAGAATTCTTTCTCAATAAACACTACAAAGCCTAAACCAAATCAAAATATTGATAATTCACCAGATCGTCATAAAAACGATAAGTTAGGACCGGAAAACCAAGGAGCTGCCTCAAAAATCAAAGGAAGCTGAGAAATATGACATTCAGGTTCTTTCTATTTTTGCCTGCGGAGCTTTGAGCTTTTCACTCAAAATGAAAAAGAAGACGAAATGAAATGAAGAGTGCTCTGACACTGCCTGTCTCTGGGGACTGAGGCAGCACAGAAAAAAAAAAAAAATCATCACATTCCCGACTGCTGTGTCCAAGAGCCATCCCAAGGGATGTGCTTGCAGCCAAGGAAATCTCGGAATCGAAGCCTTTCTAGTCCTGCCTTTGCCCTTTCTCCCTCCTCTACAATCACGTTCCCCGTAATTTCAGGTGTGGTTTCCTGCTGGGTGTGGATTATGTGAGGGCTACATGCCAAAATCCTCCCTGCAGCTGATTGTTCGAATGCCCCTTGCGGAGAGGGGGAGAGGCCCCAGAGAGACACAAACGCAAAATGTGAAAGTGCTTGGAACGGGAGTCAAAAACGGCATTTTCCCTTCCAGGAGAGCCAGCACACCTCGTGGGAAGAGGCAGGAGAGATGACCCTGAAGAAAGGAGATGTCTTTTATTCAGCAAGGTGGAGGTTTCCACAAATCAAATAAAAAAAAAAAATCCATCTTTTATATAGTAGAATTTGTGTGAACCCTCCTAATACATTCTCCGCCCACCTAATGCACACTTTTTTTGTTGATGGGATCTTTATTTGATGTAATCTTGTGCAATGCTTCAAACACAAAAGTTCTTTTCTTTATTAAGCGACTTTTATTGACGTTTCTGACGTCATCAGCTAGGTTTACAAAAAGCGAGAAAATTCGGCGTGAAGGCATCGACATCAACTGACGAAAAGCTCCAAGGGCCTTCGGGAATGTTTCTACCTTAGAGTACATCTTTTTTTTTCCCCAGTGGGTACAGACCGCGGCCAAGCGATAACTCATTAACGCCCGGTGCTAATTGAGGGCACGGCCAAGGGCACGGCCAAGGGCGGCGGCGTCGCCGTCCCGCTGTGCGCAGGCGCGGTGGGAGCCGCGCTCACGTGACCGCGGGCCGGGAGAGCCAACATGGCTGCCCCCATGGGCGCGCACGCTGCAAGCTGGCAGAGCCGGGGCCGCTCCCGCTGATCCCGCGCCGGGGCCGGGGGAGCCGGGCTGGGCTGCCACCCCCGACCGGCACCTCTGCATGGAGCCGCGAGAGTCCTGGGCGGCCTTGGCGGTGAGTGAGCGCGCCCGAAATAGGTTCTTTCGCCGGGTGCGTAAGAGTGCGACCCATACACAGAGTGGAGTTATTTGGTTTGTTTACAGTTCTGCGGCGGGAAATCCACAAAGCCAGCACCGCGACTACCAAGGCTTTTCCCTTTTTGTGCATTTTGGCAAACAAAGCCATTGGTGTTCATTGCCTACAAGTTACATAGCTTTCTTACTAGTATTCTGTCTTCTATTGGTTAATTATTCTCTGGTTCTTATGCTAATTAGTCCACGTGCTCAGTCTTTCTCTTCTTTTGGGTCGGTGGGTTTCTTGGGTCGGTTGGTATAAATTACCTCTTATCCAGTTGGAGCTGATTCAGCACAGCTGCTGAGTTGTCCTTCTTTCCTCCTTCCGTTCCTCCTTATCTGTGGGGCTCTGCCAAATATCCCTGTGGTCTGTAAATTCTATGTCCACTATCTCTTGGAACAACCTTCTTCCCAGGTTTTGGTAACCTCCTCCTAGGTCTGAGATCATTGAAAGGTGTTGAGCCCTAAACCTTAACAAAGCAATTCCACCATCAAGTAATTTGTCTTTCCAGCACCTGGACATCACTTAGAGCTTGTTGGCTGCTCTCTATTGCATGGATTGAATCTCCTTTCTTGTTGGTTAGGTCTGAAAGTGGGCAAAGATCAAACATCAAAGGACATCCTTTCTTAAGGAAAGAGGTGAGGGAGAAGGTGTGTTTTAGGTGTCTTGTTATCCCCAAATCGTCTCTGTTCTCTGCAGATGGCGTAAGCACACAGATACTGTCGCCTGCTGGCAGGTGCTCTGTTGGCTGCTCCATGAGTTTAAATGACATTTAAGATACAGAACTCTGAGAACTTAGAGAAGCAATTAGTAACTTTTGATTCATGCTTTAACAGATGGCTAGATTAAATCTGATTTAATCTGATCAATGTTATTTTGAGCAGATAAGGATTTTGATGAGAAAGAGTAAAGAAAAATCAATGCATGCAAAATAGCCAACTAGATTAAAAGAGTAATTAACTTATTGATTAAACCTTTAGTAGTAGATAGTGAACACCTCTCTGAATCCTCTGTTGCCCTGGAAAAAATTATCAGAGTAACACACATGTGATTTGTTTTCAGGCAGAGTTAAAAATCTGTGCAGCTGTTTCTATGTGCTATTCTATATGAAGTAGACTTCAAACTGTCTTTTGTGTTCTGGCACTGCATCTAAATAGTCTCATAATGGATTAATGCTAACTATTGATTTATTTTTTTTAATTAGGTTTTCTAATTATTTCAGTCTCGTCTCCCTGTTTTTGCCAAGTAATTCTTTTCTACAATCAGTCATGCCGTGGGGTAACTTAAAAAAAAATGCAGTCATCTAGAAACACAGACAGTGAAAGAAGATTGAACCCTAGTTGAACCAATTTTTTTAGGGTTTTGTTTTAACGAATTGATTTGGATAAAATCCTTCCCCTTTTCCTTATGACTTTGGAAACATCTTTATTGAACATGATTTCCAGTACCTGAAGCGAGCCTAAAGAAACATGGGGAGTGACTTTTTACAAGGGCATGTAGTGGCAGGACAAGGGGGAATGGCTTCAAACTGACAGAGAGTAGGTTTGGATTGGATATTGGGAAAAAATTCTTCCCTGTGAGGGTGGTGAGGCCCTGGCACAGGTTGCTCAGAGAAGCTGTGGCTGCCCCATCCCTGGAAGTGTTTCAGATTGGACAGGGGTTGGAGCAACCTGGGATAGTGGAAGGTGTTCCTACCCCTGGGACAGGGAATTTGGATCTTCAAGTTTCCTCCCAACCCAAACCATTCTGTGATTCTATGATTTTTTAAAAATTTTTTTTTTAATATGCTTTTATCAACAAAAGAAAATAAAGCAACTTTACTTTAGGATTTGTTCAACAGAGGAAATGGACTGGGAAGAACACTTTAAATGAAGAAGTTTGCTGGAAAAATGTGAATGTGCTTTCTTGAGGTGCTTACAGGGGGAGCAGAATTGCTTCAATCTTTCTCTGATCTTATCACACAACTCCTGCAGGTGTTGGTCACTCAGTGCTGTGTCAATAAGTGACATCCACTGTCTTACTTTTCTGTATAGTGGGGAAGTGTTGCATTGCTTTGCTTGCACTATTCAAAACACTGAGATTGTTTTGAAAGTACCTTAAAAATTGTTTAAAAGTTGTAATATCTATTCTTTCTTTTGTTTAAGCTTCCCTGTTATAGCTATAGAAGCTATTGAGATCTGTGTAAGACTGTAAGTTTATAAACTGACCTCAATCAGTAGTGCTTTGGGTTAGTCCTGCCTCAGTTTCTCACCTAGGCACCACAGCTTCACCCCTGAAAGTATTAATGTGCTTTATTCCATGGTTTTGTCTTGAAGGCTGGTGGAGTTGCTGGTGTCTGTGTTGACTTGATCCTTTTCCCCCTGGATACTGTAAAAACAAGACTGCAGAGTCCTCAAGGATTTAGGAAGGCTGGTGGTTTTCGTGGCATCTATGCTGGTGTTCCTTCCACTGCGATAGGATCCTTTCCAAATGGTAAATTGTCTTTGGGTTATGCTTTGTCTTATTACAGTGGGAATTTATGTTGCACAGAACATTCGTGCTTCCTCTCCTGCAGGTGCCTGTTTGGATTCTGTGAGTCCATGTCCAGCTGTGAAGGGCAGATTCTGGAATTGTGCAGTATTGAGCAAACTCTTGAGCAAGCCTGGAGTGAAGGCTGCTGCATGTTCACTCTGAAAAGCAACCCTAATTCCTTGGAAGGGTACCTGGATATAAACCTTACTTATAGGGGCACCCTAAAGCATTTCTTGGTGCCAAAGAGGGCTTGAGTCTTCCTTGCCCTGGACACTTAAGTCATGAACCCACTCTGCAACAACACTGGGAAGGAATCAAAGTCCAAAGTGCTTGAGCAACAATATGCTTTTGAAATACTTTTGAAACTGATCTTTTTAAAAAGTAAACGCTTGTAGTTCCTGCAGAGAAAAGGCATCTGAAATTCCTGATGCCTTTGTCCATTTTGTCTTTGTAGGGAGGGATGAAAAGAAAGCAAGCTATGCTGTCAGACATAAATGTCAGGAGAACTTTGCTGACAAATGCACTGACACCTTCAGATGTTTGATGTCCTTCATAAGGTGATGTAAAAAAAATCAGTTCTTTATCTTGGCTGCTCTCTTATCTCCTATTGAGGTGATAAGCATCTTTTGATTAACAGAAGGCAATTCACATGGCCCCTTCTGTACAATTAAAATCTGTTCCCCCGCAAGACATGTCATTTTTTCCAGGATTTACATCTCCAAAATCTGAACTGTGGTTTTATCTTTCCAACGTATGACTGAGAACTGAAATTATCTTTAGGAGAAGGAATAACCCTTAAGGTGTAAGTGCCTTTGTAGCTGACTGTTGCAGTGAATAAACACAGCTCATGTTGCTGTGCTCAGCTTAGTTCTGTATGGTTTTTGTTCACTGCACAAAACTTTTACAAGCCTTTGACAAGCTTGCAAAAAAAAAACTTGTGGCACTAAATTGCAAAGTATTAAACTGGCGATAGCAGGCAAGAAGTTATTAATAAACTGCTACTGAAATAGTTTTGCACATTAAGGAGGGCAGAATTGTATTGAGTGAGTGCCTTGATGAATTTTGGGTTGGTTTGTTTTTCTTTTCAATTAATTGTTGTCTGTTCATGCCCCCAAAAAACCACCGTCCGTTCAATTGCACCAAAAGATTTTCTCTCTATCTGTGAATATGGAAGGTACCATTTATTCAAAATGTGTTGGACATTCATGACTAATTAACACATCCTTCCTTACCCCTGTACTAAATGTGGCCTAAAGCCCTGACACCTTTGATATTAATGGGATATTTGCTGGAATAGCCAGGAGCATAAACTTCTGAAGGGATTATCCCACAGATTTTGTTCATACTGCTGTACTGTTTTGATGTAAAAATATCCTGGTTTTAGCTACAGCTGCACAACAATAGGTGTCAAAATCCATCTCTAAATGCTTTTTTTGTGCTAGTTCTGTGATGGAGGAACAGCAAAATGATTGCATGTGTTCTTGAATTTCAGCTGCTGCATTTTTTATCACCTATGAGAATGTGAAATCCCTGCTGCCCCATGGCTCTTCATCTTACCTGTCTCCAGCGACACACATGGTTGCTGCCTCCCTTGGGGAAGTGGTAAGAAGGAAGTTCATGTATTGTGTGTCCATGACAGGAGAGGAAACCATTCAATTATGAAAACTTGGGTTTGGCATCCTATCTTTCTGAGTGTTGACTATGCTTGTGACAGTTCTTACAAACTGGCACTTGTAAGGATTGTTTCAGTGAGTAAATGACTTAATAACAATTCTTTGTGGGTCTATTGCCTGATCATGCTAAGTCAGTAGAGGGTGAAAGGGTGGATGGTTCAGAAACATAAATAAACCTTTACAGGATAGAGCTGTGTGACTTCATGTGCCAAACAATGTGTAAGTTTTTTCTGATGAAGCCTCTGTCGGTGGAAAATAGAATGGATAATCTAGTGAAGCCTCTTCCCTTGGGATGAACATTTCTATACTTTAGTGACATGGTCTCTCTGATAGCTGCAGCCTTTACTTTAATGTGTTGGTTGGGTTATTGCAGCTTAAAGATGCATGTGAATAATGAAATTAATTTCTATATATAGGCTTTTTGAAAACTCTTTCCTGCCACTGTTTTGAAAAGTTGCTGTATTTCTTATCCATTAAATACATTACTTTGTTTATAGCAGGTTCTGGAGCTGCTAATAATGGCTTTCTTTGCCCAGGTTTATACAATACCCAAAATAACTGGGACCAAATTCAGTAAACACTTTAGATATCATTAAAGAAGGTCACAAGAGAAACCTCTCTTGTTTTGCTGCCTAGGTTGCCCTTGCCTTGTTAACAGCATGGACTTGGCAGAAATTATTGGGGGTGTCTGAATTTTTTGTTTTTTTTATAAATTAAAAATTAAATAGCTTTAACCCACTGAATTTAAGTAACAAAATGCTTCTTGCCTTCCTGACTTTCCAATCTGGCATGTGTAGGCTGTTTCCCAGCATATATTGACCACTCCTTAGAGTTTTTAGGTTTTATTTTATTTATTTTGAGAGACGGAAAGGTTTCCAGTACTAAGGAAATGCCAAGGCTGTATTTCAACGCTTGAGATTTTAAAATTAATGTCATCACCAACATGCAATGCCAATGGACAACCTGTAAATCCACAGAATTGAAAGTGTGGCTCTGGAAGGAGCTGGTAGGTGACACTCTGTGACAGGAACTTTCCTGTGCAAATAGACTGTGGCAGGTGTTGAAAGGGAACCCTTTTCAGTGTGATCAAACTATGACCATTCCTTCTCTGTAGGTAAATACCAAAGGCACTTTATCCACACACTTTATTCCAGAAGCTTGAATATTTTGTTTTTAAAAAACTATGTGAGCTTATTTGCAAACAAAAAGAGCAAGGTTGCTTTGGCTTAGCTGAATCAAATATATTAAAGGTTCAGCAAAATCCTCCTTTCCCTGGATACTACTCTCACTTTTATCTGTTGGCACAGTGCCTTGGCAGTGTTTGGGGCTGGGTGTTCAGCTGTAAACAGTCCATGCTGTTCCTGCCAGTGCTGGCCTCCTTTTCCCTCCAATTTTTGTCACACAGGGTGTTTCCTTGCACTGCACTGATAAAATGGGGTGTAAGTTGATGTGTCTCCACAAGTTTGGAGTAGAGGAGTGGGCTGTATGAAAATATTTCTGGCTCTTTTGCAAGTTAAACTTGGCCCGTGGTGTGAGGCAGAGAAAAATTGTCGTGTCTGTGTTTTCATATTTGCTTTTATTAACTGATTTTTTCATTTCTTTCCCATGGGGATTTAGCTCAGGTGTAGGTTGGTCCCAAGCTACCAGGAGTGTGGAGGTGCCTGTGCCATCTCAGGTGAACACCAGGTGCCTCACTGCTACAGCAGCACAGCCTGGCTGCTTCCCACGGGAAGCAGTTCAGCTCTCCCTGCTCCCTGTGGGTTCAGTTTTAATCCCCAACTAATTTTCATTCTTCTGTGGAAATGATACTGATTAGATTGAGTGGGATTTAGCCAGGAAACTTAATTTAACATACCAAGCACATGAATATATGCGAGTGCAGCATCTATAACCACTCTGGTAATGGCAGATAGAAGGTGATAGATTTAGGGCTGGGTGGGATGTGTTTGTGTTGCTGACTCAGGTGGATTCTTTCTGATCTTGATTAGAGCCTGTGCTGTCAGGTTATCACTTCTAAATTAAGGCAGTGCACAGAACTTATTTCCATTAAAATTCTCTAAAGGTTGTTAGAAATCAGCAAGAGGTTCTTCACCACCATGGCAGTGCATAGCCCTAAAATTCCTTGTTTCCTGATAACCTGATAGAATGGCAGATCCATGAGGTGTTTGAAGCTTCAGGTGCTGTTGCAGAATCAAGAGAAATGACAGTTGGGCTCATGAAGAGGTGCCAGTGCTGTGGAATAAAATACACAGGGGAAAAAAACCAACTCAAAACACCCTTCTTTGTCAAGTAAGTTATTTATAGTATACTCCCTCTGATTGTGAGGCTTCTGTGAGAAAGCTATAAATGGGTAATTTAATTAGCAGGAGCCAAAAACCAGTGGCTACAAATGACTCCTTCCAGCAGAACCTGTTGCCCATTTTTTTTCCAGGATGGTCTGTAGTCTGTGACCCTCACAACTCAGGCACTTACTGCTTTCATTTTGGGGCTGGCAGAGAAGGTGCAGCACAGTTAAATGAGTTGCTCGGGGTTGTCTCATGTGCTTGGCTCTTGCTACTCGAAGGCCAGAGAAATGTATATTGGTAGTCATCGAAATGGCAATGTCACCTAATGGTGTGGAAACTGCAGTGTTGTAATAGCCATTTTTCAGCTCATTTTTCTGCTTTTTGCTAGCTTTTCTTCTCCTCTTGGACTGATGGGTGTGAGGGGAGAACTAAGCTGTAAAATACCTGAGATAGAGATTTGGAGATTTGCTACCACACACCTGTAATAAAATAGCACAAAGCAAGACCTTCTCACATTTAGTCTTAGTTGATCAATAGAAATATATAAACTAGTCCAAATTGCACCAGGGTTAAAGTTATAATTATAGTTTTATTGATTAATCATTAAGTTTTAATCAGGGCATAACCACTGGGACTATTATTTTGTCAGTAGTTCTTTTTGATAATATGTACTTTTCTTGCATCATATACTCTAATAGTTATTTAGTATAAATTGCTTTTAAATGTGAAATAATAAACCACACACTCTGTCATGTTAGGATTCCTAAGGCATGTCTTCCACACTGTTTTTTTACGAAACAGAGAAATTAAGATTTAGAGCAAAAAAGTCACGTTGGATTTCTAGGTTTGCTGTTCTTTCACAGTTGAGCATAAATGAGTCAGATACCTTCTTGTGCACCAGTAAAATGTGATTATGTGCAAAGCTTAAACGTGTGTTTATGCTGACCAATCTGTGTTTTGAATGTGACCTGCTAAAAATAATAAAACAGGTAAAGAGGAAGAGATACAAAGTTTGCATCAAGACATGATAAAATATATGTGAGAAATCAGTCAAATGGGAAGTCTTAGTTGTTATAACAGCCCTCTTCTGTATTGTTTGCAGTCTGTGGAAATTCATGGGAAACAAAGTCCCCAGGGGACTGCTCTGGTCCATTTTTCCAGGCTGGGAGGCACAAAACCAAGTGAGAAGGCAGGGGCTGTAACACTGTTTTGTTTCCTTTTTTTTTTTTTTTTTTTGCTTTTAGGCAGGAGAAATACAAAAAGCTAATCTCATCTCCCAGAGTGAGATAAAGAAAAGTACATTCAAAATCTGACCCTGTTAAACGTAATTAGTTGTTCCTATAACTGAATCTCGCCGTATAGGGACTCTGAATATCCCATAACACATGAAAAATTACTTGAAAAGACACAGCCAAAACTCTAGAGGGCACATACATGGTATATCATCTCATCTCATCAAGGAAGAAGTAGGTTGATGAATACATGGGTTACCAAGGGGGGGAAAACCCCTTATTGTACCACTTGTGTAACTGAAATCTCGAGATAGGAAACACACTCGCTGCATCCAGGACATTGGAATTTTTCATCTTGACTCAACTTTGCCCTGTATGTTTAGTCTGCCTGTATCTTTACACTCAGCTGCCAAATGTGCTTGGAAAACATGGTATCATAGGGAGTGGAAAGGAAAACCAGATGTTCTGAAATTTTACTTTTAATATTCTGAGGCGGTATTTATTAGTAACTCTGAGAAGGAACAGTGTTTTTAACCTCCTAGTGCCCATTTCAAGTAGTAACCAGGTGTGTCTTGCAGAACCAGAGTTAATTGTGCAGCTCCAGATTGATTTGTACAGAGTTTTTTAATGTCAGTTTAATGTGACAGTGTATGTATTAATTACAAGAAGCTTTGATAAATTGAAGTCCTGCCTCTCACACCAACCTCCTGCAAGCATGGTTTTGTGGGACAAGTCTAAGGCTGTCCTAGTTTGACCGATGAGGTTTCCTTCAGGAGTGCCAAAGTGGTTGGATTCAGCGCAGCTAATTTGGATTCAGCACAGATAATGTTGCATCCTGCTGGCCTTTCCATGGAGGTGAGAATAAAGTCGTTTGGCTCACGTTGTGGAGAAGGGAGCTGACAACAGCCTTTTCCATCTAATGTTTAGATATTGTTGTGGTTACCATCTGAGCTTTGCAAGACATTCAGTGAAAGTTTTGGGCTGTTTCTTGTAAATACTGGGTTCACTCTTATCTCTCTGACCTTTTCTTCTTGGTTGACTATTTTTGGTGACATTGTCTTTCTTTTTTTTTTCCCTGCTCTGTAAGAGAGCAAGTTACCTTTACATTCAGAGAGGAAGTGTGTGGGAGGACTGAGGATCAGGATGGGAGGGAGGTGTCCTGTTCTTTTGGCAAGTGGTTGCAATGACCATGCTCTGGAAGCAGATTACCAGCTGAAGTTACTGAGCTGCTTTTGTCCTTGTGTGAGTTCCCAGAGTACTTTAGGGAGATTTGAATGCTGGAGATTTGAAGTGTCCAAAAGTTCATCGCTTCAATGGGGAGAGGGGATGATGTGGCTCCACAGAGCAGGGTGAGGACAGGTATTTCAAGGTGAAATTCCAAGCTCACTTGTGTATTCCAGTGTGTTGCCACT